TGTGCTTGAGCTCTACTCTCTGCTGCATCTGGCTCTTTTTACTCAGCAAAATGGTTCTGAAATTCATCTGTCATGTTCTCTGCTGCTGCGGCTTCTCTCTGTTGCTGAGTGGCACTCCACGTTGTGAATACTCTTTTGATATTTTATCCTGTTGATGGGCAGCGGAAGGTCAATTCTAGTCTTGAGCTCTTATGAATACAATTGCATCAGATGTTCTCCTCTAAACATATCATGACCAAAATATATGTGATCAAAACACCTTGTGAATGTTTAAATTAAAAAAAATTCCAGTAAATGACACGTTGCTACTAACTTCCTTCAAAATACTCTCCCTCTCTTTGATCACACTTATTCCGTCATTCCTAACACCTTTTGAAGCAGTTCCGGAAGTCCTCTTTCATGAGAGTAACAAAAAAATACAGTGATGATGTAGAGTGTGCCTAAGGAGAGTCACGTGGGGAGAAAACACTCTCTCAGGCTTTCACAGAGAGCACATTGGCCAAGCAATGGCCGTGACTCATCCACATGGCTGACACTGACAAAGGTTCTACAATCTGAGGTACAGGATCTCAGGATAAATCCTGAGGGGATTTCACTGACCTTATCAGACCCAAAAGCTACAACTCTGGTTGCATAGGTCCTGCTTTGCCTTGGTCTTAACCATCCAGCAGAAAAGTATAAGAATGAAATATAAGAAGTAAAGCCATGGTGTAATGCTGAGCTGTGGGGGACTCAGGTCAATAATTTCTGACATTGCCAGTTGAACAGAAGACCCAATGCTATTATGGGCTACTGGACTCTTTTAGAATACTTTGCTGAGTTTACACACCTATAATATTCAATAACGGAACTTAGAAAAAAAGGGGATACAGATGAATGTCCATTTTGTATCTGTGTATTCAAAGTGGTTAGGATAGATATATGGTTACATTCTCTTAATGAATAGAGGGATTTGTTCTAATGGTGTTTGTAAAGAGGATATCATGTCCTCATCTTGTACAGCAATTAACCACTAGGAAGAATGTATGCAATGTGTTAATTATTGAAACTGTCCTACAAATTTGATTTGAAACTATCTCATTGCTATTTGTTTATCAATAAAATTGTGGAAAAAAATAAAGTAATGCTGTGTGTCCTTTAAAAAAAAATATACTGAATGCTGCTGCCAAATGCCACTTGATGGGAAGGTAGGTTGCTAAAAATCTATGGTGTGCCCTCATGTACCTTATCCACAGTATCACTGGCTAACCTGTGGCTCTTCCCTGAAATCACAATGATAATGAAGGGTAAAGGTTTTGAATCAATTCAGGACATCAACGCAGCCATGACAACACACCTACAGGCACTTACACACCTTTTTGTGACATGTTTCCATTGGTTGTGGGTAACAGTCGAAGGATAAAGGTATTCACTGCTAGGACAGGTGCATGTTTAATTACATAGGCAAATGCACGGCAGCTTTCCAGAGTGGTCCCACGATTCCTTGTCATCAGCTCTGCTGGAGTTCCAGTGCCTCTACCTCCTCACCAACACTTGATGCTGTCAGCTTTAATCTAAGTCAGAGTAAGGTGGAATTTTCTTGTGGATTTGGTTTTCACTTCCACAGAGAGCTTTAAGTGTTAAGAGAGTATCCCCTGACATGACACGGGCAGAGCCTCTGTGTTAGATGTTCCTCTGGCTGAACTGGATCATTGTTCTTCATTCTTCTTTGGGGATCCTGGCTCTTTTCACTCCCAGATCATCTGTTCTCCACCTTCCAGCCCCTTTGGTTTGGGTATGGTTGGCCTGTGTGCCCTAAGGTTCACGTATTGAGCTCAGGTTCCTATGTGATGGTGCTAGAGGAGCTACAGCACCTCTAAGAGGCGAGGCCTCGTGGGAAGACTTTAGGTCACTGGGGGCATGCCCTTGGCAGGGATTGGGGGATTCCAGTCTTGAGTTTTGAGAGGTGATCACTCCCTACAACAAAGTCCTGACTTTATGAAGCTTTTGGCTGTCAGGCCTTGAGCAGAGACCCAACTGAGGGAGCCTTCATAGCTTGGACTCTGAATCTCCAGAGCGATGAACTAAACAAACTTCTTTTCTTTATAAACTCCGGGACTAAGGTACTTTAGAAGGACAGGCTAATATATCCTTACAGAAGGACGTGAAGCTGCCTGCAAAGTTGGTTTTTGAGCTTCACCAAAAGTTAAGGGCCAAAGCTCTGGTCTCAGAAGCACAAGTACAGGGAGACGCAGGGACCCAGGGCCAAGCCTGATGGTATCTGCCCTGTGCCCCTACCTGGCCCTGGAACACACTAGGTCTGTTTTCAGAGAGGTCTTTCTGGCACTTCTGAGTATAGCTGCCATGGGGAGCCCCCAAGGAGTCCTTCCATCCCTGAGATGCTCAGTCTGGGGTCCTGATGTCCCCTTGAGGCCACCAAGTATCATGTCCTGCCTGCATTTCTGCCTTCCTTCCTTCGAGGGCCCTGATCACAAGGCCTAGCAGCAGTGGCCTCCTCCTGTCTCACCTCGCCTCTTACCACGGGCAATCTTAGCTCAGGCTCTGGATTCGAGGGCTAGGCCAGCTGGCGAGTCCTGCTTCCCTCGGCAACTATCGGTCCCTGGCACCGTGCCTTGTTCTCCTCGCCTGTGACCTGTGCTAGCCACATGTCTTCCTCATGGAGCTGATGTGAGGCTCAGACTCTCCTAGTGGGCGGTGCATGGCGCTGGTTGGTTCTTCTAGAGCTCCGAACTACCTGGCCCGATGGCACCTGTGGCTGAGGCTGGGCACCTCGTCCTGGCTCCTAAACATCTTCACAGGGAGTGAGGGTGCCTGTGCCGCAGCTGGGCCCACTGTGTGGCCTCTGGAGCCTCAGCTCTGTCTCCGCCCTGGCCTCCTCACTCCCTCACTTTGGCCTATGCCCCCTCTGCTCCTAGTCTTCCCTCCAGCTCCCGTCTTCACCCAGGATTCTTTCCCCCACCCAGTTCATCTGAGATCCTGCTTACCAGCCTCACCTGGCCTAGGTGACACACTGGCCCGTTGTGACACCCAAACACCTTTCACACCTGACCCAACCAGGCGTGTGGGTGCTGGGTACCCAGAAATGGTGTGTATTAGGCTGGGGGTGGAGCAGGACCTGCTGCGTCTGTGCCTTTGTAGGGGCCCTGCACAGAGCTCCCTCCAGCCTCTGCCCCAGGCCAGAGCAGAAAGCTTCCCTGACCCCGGGCCCTTGAAGGATGGGGACCACAGCCACAGCCCAGGGCCCTGTATTTGTTTGGACCTAGATGATGAAATTGTGTCTCAGAGGCCCTCTGAGAGGCCAGCAGTGCCAGAGCCCACCACGAACCTGACTCGCGGGACCTGGATGCACATCTGACCCCTGTCCTGAGGCCCTGAGCCCAGCAGGAAGTGCTCAGGCTGTGGGGCCCGTGGGGGGGGGGTGGGCATGTGGTGGGTGGTGTCTGGGGGTGTGCACAAGGGGCCAGTCTGCCGTGCCTCAGACTGGGGACACACACACTCTCACCCCCTTCATGCCAAAGTCCCAGGATGTGTCGTGGCAAGGGCAGGGTTCTGGTGGGTGTGCCAGGAGTCAGGGTGGGGCACTGCTGTCAGCGCAATGGCATTCCTGGGTGCCTGGCAGTGCCACTCTGGGTTTGTTTGGCCTCTGACTTTTGGGGCCACTTGGTGGGGAGGGGGACACCCTGAAGTCTACTGTGTGCAGCTGGGACTCAGGGACAGAGCTGTTGCTGGACCTCGACACAGGGTTGAGTGGAAAACTTAGAAACAGGGTGAGCTGTCCCACAAAACACTAAGCTGCACAGCGAAGCCGTCCGCGTGCAGGCAGAGGCTGGCAAGGGCCAGGGCAGGGTGGGTGGGAGAGACGGGGCATCAGTTGAACAGGCAGGGCCAGTGGGCTGGAGGCCGGTCGAGCTGTCAGGGTATCATTCCCCACCCCCAAAGCCCAGCACACAACTATCAGGAAGTGGCTGTGGCTCTCACAGAACTCTGAGAAAATCATACAGGAAGAAAGGATGCTGGGGAGAAGGTGAGGCTGAAGCCCACACTCAGGGATGGCTGGCCAGGGCAGAAGGAGCAGCGAAGGCAGGCCCAGGGGTGGAGGCCCAGAGCGGCGAGTGCCACTGGTCGTGTGGACTCGTGTGGGGGCAGGGAGGAGGCCAGGTGCTGCTGCCCAGGAGGGGAAAGGCTGAGACCCGTCCCTCTGGCTGGCAGTTTCTCCTAACCCGAGTTCTACATTGGAATTGGGTCATTCTTCGGGTACAGGGAATCTCTAAATGACACAGGGAGAAAAACTGATGTCGGGTGGATGACTTCCAAATGACATAGGGGAAAACTGATCTCCCAACCTAAAAAGTACCTTGCACAGGTCTTGTTCTCTAAAACCAAAGAATGAATTTTAGGAACAAATGGAGGTTATGAGCGGAATATATTTATTGGGGGAAAGAAAGCTCCTGTCGAGAGAAGGACAGAAGGGGGGCCCCCGAGCGGGTAGTTCCCCGGGAAGCTGTCTTTTCCAGGAACTTTTATAGAGGAACACCATGTGGTGAGGTGAGTCTAAAGTGGTAGAGAACATGGGAACTCCCTTAGGTGGGCATGAGGTGGGACAAAACTACGGTCCGCCAATGAGATTGCAAGCACCATTGCTCAGGTAAAATTGATTAAGCCCAGGACCAAATGGGGACAGGAGTCAGGTAGCAAGCGTGCATGAATATGGGACAGGGTCTCTTCCTGTTGGGGGTCGGGCTAGCGACTCACTTGGGCTCTTTTGAGGTGATTGATACCTATTTAGAGTATCAATCCCTGATGCCCATCCCTAGGGCAGTATGCGGCTGTGTTTCCTCTTTTGTCTTGAGGTCTGGCCCATACGGGATGGGAGTGTCTGTCTCTTCCAAGTTGCAAAGTCACCTTGTCTTCTATCTTGGCTCCTTGAGGGCCTGGCCCTGTCTGACTGCCTATAGTATTTCTACCTAATTCAGCTGCCTACAGCACTTCCTGGCGCCATAATGGACTTGGGCCCACCTGAGGGCAGCTTGGACGTCAGTCACGGAGTCACTTATGGTAAGTTAGGGCCAAGGCGCAGGCAGGAATTGACGTTAGAGTGGGAGAACGTGGGCTGTGCCTCCTGGAGGGAGGACGCGGGCCCTGGTTCGGTTGGCAGAGTCCCTGCCTAACGGGAAGCCCCGGGGTGCCCAGAGCCGTGCCCGGCAACAGCTATGGGGATTGTGACGGCTTCTGAAAACCCCGAGTGAGTGTTTCCTGTTCAGAATGCTGGGACCGGACGTGTTTCAGGTCTCTTTTTTTTTTTTTTTTTAGATTTTGAAATATTTGTAGAGACAGAATGAGGAATTTGGGGGCTAGGACCCAAATCCAGACTCATGCCCACTTGCATTTCATGTGCACTTAGGCACATAGCGGGAAGGTGACCGTGCGCCACTTTAGGGTCCTGAGCTGCGGCGGGGATCCTTCAGGAGGTCATTTCGCACCCGTGTTGGCGTGCTCCTGCTTCTGACTGGGTTTTGGGGTTAGGGCTGGACTACTGCGATGGCGTCGTGCCTCCTTGTGCGTCCCTGCGCACCATTGCTCCTGGTCCTCACAGAGCCCGCTCATTTTACAGGCAGGCATTTTACAGGCTGGTCGTGCAAGCCAAGAAGCAGAGGTGAGCCTGGCCGCCAGGCTCCTGCCCCTGGGTGCCGGCCCGTGGGAAGGCCTGCCGGCTGCAGGAACCGGGAGGAACAGAGTGCGGGAACGTTGTCCCAGGCCTGCTGTGCCCAGAGCCTCTGGGTGCTGGGTGCTGGCCAGCTCAGAGGACAGGACGATTATCGTAGACCTGGCGGAGTGGCCTGTTCTTTGGGGTGTTGTTTTTTCCACTGTAATGGAAACAAGTTTGCTCCTCCAAGCTGGGCTGGGGCCGGCCTTTCCTGGAGCAATGTCTGAACTGACCCCACAAACTCGGACCCAGCTAGAGCCATGGGAAGAGGCCACTGTCACTGCTCCAGCAGCTGGCCTGCGACTGGTGCCAACCTCAAGGTTGGGCCCTAGCCAAGTTTCAAGCCCAGATTGGGTCCAGGTCTGGCTCCCTGCCCTGATCTGCCCAAGGCAGGTGTGGTCTCCCCTTTGCCTTGGGGCCGCACAGCAGAGCTCCCAGGTGCTCCCCCCACGCCCCCTGACCTGGGCACCTGTCCTGGAGCAGGAACAGAGAGCTGTGGGAGCCTCACCAATCCCTGGCCCTTCCTGTCTCCTGTCATGTGGGGAGAGAGGAGGGAAAGGAGCACCTGGCCCAGCCCAAGCTGGTTCCCTCTACTGGGGATGAAGCTAGGAACGTGGGCACGCAAGTTCTCACTCCACTCTCAGGGGAAGGACCTGTCTCCACAGCAGCGTGCATCCAGCCTCTACTTGTTCTCTCTGCCCACCTTAGGTGCCCCAGTCCTTGGTTCTGAAGGGCAATATAACCTGGCACTCAGTTTTAGCCAGTGGCAAGGCCTAGGAATCCAGGAAGAGGACGCTGGCTGTGTGGCCAAAGCCCAAGGAGAATCAGGTGTCTGAGGCCTGCTTCTGTCATCTCTGGGACTTCCCCAAGAACCTATTTGGAGCAGTGAAGATGCAGGCAGGACCCAGGGTGGACTTGGATGGGATGGGAGCAGGAAGTGAAGTAAAGGTGTGGTGAAGGAGGAAGTCCAGAGGGTGGGAGCCCTGGGGTGTGGTGGCAGTGGCTGAGACTGCAGGGATCAGAAGGAAGACTTGACCATCTGGCTTTTGATGAAATAGTTAGCTGGCTGTGATAGCTAGTGTCCGAGGTGTACAGCAGAAACACAGCAGACTTATATGAGTGTGTGTGTGTGCGTGTGTGTGTGTGTGTGTGTGTGTGTGTGTGTAAGTAAATATGTTCACCTGGAATGTTCTCACCATTCATTCTTCCACTTGTGACTTGATCTTTAAGGACTCCCCCAACCTTGACCTGGGACTGTCTTGTGTTGTTATAACAAAATGCCTGAGGCTGGAAAACTTATTTATAAAGAGGTCTCTGGCTCATGATTCTGGTCACCAGTGGGCACAGGCAGCTTGGCACTGCATGCTCGTGAGACCTCCTGACTGCATCATGACATGGCAGAGAAGCAAAAAGGATTCTGGCCTTGTGCAGGAGGGTCCGGGGGATGCCAGGCTCCTTATGAACAGCCCACCCCTTCAAGGCACACCTGGCTCCACGGGACTCACACAGTCCCTTTTGAGGACAATGCCTCCCCATCCCAGGGGCCCCATTATGGCGCTTTCTGCTGTGTCTCACCTTAGAAAGGATCAGTGCTGCTGTGCTGGGGACCATATGGCCAGCACATGAGCCCTGGGGGACACACTTGCATCCTACCCAAGACAGCACCCCTCTTCTCCCTGCCACGCTATGGAGGATTTAGGGGCAGCACTGGGTCCTGAAGGGGTCCACAGGGTCCTGCACCAAGCAGCCCTACCACCCTCCCCTGTGGGGTCAGTGAGGCAGGAAGCCATCCGGGAACTGTGGAAAGAGGGAGGTGTCAGTCTGATAGATAAAGGAGAAAGGGAAAGAGTGTGGGTGTGTGGCGCACAGTTCCGGCTGGGAGGTGGAGGTTGGGTCACAAGTTCAAGCCCAGCCTGGGTGAATAAATAATAGATGAATGAATGAATCAATCAATCAATAAATAAGGGTGGGGGACAAAGCTTAGTGTGAAGGCCTAGGGCTCCACCCAGCACCACCAGAAAGAAGAGGTAAGAGGGATACGCAGGCCCAGGACCGCCCTGCAGCCATGCTCCAGCCCATCCCGCCCTGTGCACACTGGCTTGCTTTGTGCTGTGGTCCTTCCCTCGGTGTGGAGTGCCCGTCCTTTCTGGTTTCTGGTTTTTCCCCGGTGAGCATGTCAAGTGTCCTCTGTGAACCCCAGTTCTCTCTCCACCTGACTAGTCAAGAGGCTGCTGCCCTTCCCAGCCCGGCAGCAGACTTGGTAGGTAGTTCTCACAGCCATGTCTGCCGCTCACCGTCGTCTCTAGATTTTTTCGCCTGCTCTCCTGTGAGTTCCCCCAGGCCAGGTCTGCTGTCTAATTCTTCTTGTCCACACTCAACAAGTTTATTGAATCCATTGGAAGTTTAAGTATTTTGAGCTCAGGTGTTCCAGAAAGGCGGCTGCTGAGAGTCCTGAGGGTCCAATTTATGTGGCAATTTCATTCAAAGGTTGGAGGTATAAGACTCACAAGACAGAGAGCTGGCCCAGGCCCGTTCGAGGGACTTTGTCCAAAGCTGAATCAGGATGTGTTAGAGGGAAGAAGTATTTCCCAGTCAAACTCTTTGAACTGTTAAATTGGACACACTGCAAACCTGCGCCCGCGCAGGTCGATTTTCCCTTCCCCTTTGTGCACTGCGGCTTTTGAAAGACTCGTCCATCACCAAGAAGCCCCAGCCTCTGTTCTGTGGAGGTCAGCTGCTGTCCAGGGGCCCAGCTCTGACTCAGCCCAGTGTTGGAGAAGCGGTCATGGGACAAGGCTTGGGGGCACAGGTGTGGGGTCTGGGCCCCTGGGGTCCAAGCCTGGATGGTGAGGGCGGGGTGCAGGCTGGAGTGGGCAGCTGTGCTAGCTCAGGCCTTCTGGGCTCAGCGGTGGGGCTGAAATCCGCGCTGGCTGTGATGGTGCCTTCTGCTCTGTGCCTGGCATTGCCACCTGTGGGCATGGGGCATAGGCCAAGACCAACACTGGGCGGTGCTTATGATAGTCTGGAATGTGGCTGTGAGAAGTCTGCGTGGCCGACTGGGGTCCTTGACCTGAGGTTCTGTTCTGAGCCTCTCTCAAGGCCCTCATGGCCCTCAGTCCCATGCCCACCTCAAACGTGGCCCTGTTGCCCATCCCTGGGGCCGTCTGGTGGTCATCTGGGTATGGCCCATGTTTGGGTTCCTGTGGAGGCTGTGTGGTGATCCAAGCAAGCTTTTGGAGAGGGTGAGGAGGAGGAGGCTGGGAGCTGGAGGAGCGGCCTGCCGGGCCTGCTGAGGCGAGGGTGCCTGCCACCAGGGCTCACCCTGCTGTGGGCTCTCATGCCCCATGCTGCGCACATGCCACATCCACCAGGCCTTGCCTGCCCAGGGCCCAGCCACCCCACTGCACAGGACTCCTGTGGGGGACCTGCACCAGGCAGCCTGAGTGGCCAGGGGCACAGCTGGGCTGCGGGGTCACTCTGCTGTCTGCACTGGCCTTGGGGACCCTGCTCTTCCCAAAGCGAGGCCTCTAGGAGTGGCTCCTAGTGATGAAGAGATTTTTGTTTTACAGATGGAAGCACTAATTAAGACATTTGAATGTCTTCCATATTCCTAATTCTTTGTTCTTTTCCTTTATGTAATAGAAACGGTTCTGCCTACCTCATTACCAGCTGGTCTAGTAAACATCTAGAGACTATAAGGATATTTTATTTTAATTGCCCGAGCTCCAGGATTATGGAAATGGGAGGGTGAGGGGAGGGCTCTGAAGACAGGCTCCAGGAAATACTCAACAAGAGGTTCTCAGTTGGAAGACGGTGGTGGGGGTCCCTTTTATTGTTTGGTGGCTTTAGAGCATTTGACCCGGGTTCAGGGAATATTGGGAAGGATTTGGAGGCTGAGTGGTCGGAGCCATGGTCAAGGGGGCAGGCTCTGAGCCAGTGAATTAAGCACATTTCTCCTTAATAAATGTGGCAAACAGCATGAAAATGTGCCTGATTTTCCAAGTTGCATGAATCAAAGTCTGGCAGGAGGCCGAGAGCAGAGCTGTTTGCTCTGTGATAGACATGCACTCAGCGTCCTGATGCTGGACTCTGGGCACAGCTCTCCCGGGAACGCAGCTTCTGGAACCTTCCTTGGAGGCCCGGAAGAGTGAGTTCTGGCCCACCAAGGGTCACTAGCTGGGTGAGGCTGTGGGCAGCGTGGCACCTGATCAGCCGCAGTGTGGACCCTTTGTCCCCCTCCAGCAGAGAAGCTGTTAACGTTGTGATCCCAGGGCCTGGGCTCTCCCTATACATGTACTTAGGGGTGCCAGCTTTCCCAGCACTCTGCAGTGGGCACATGGCAGCCCAGGAAGAGGGCAGAGGCTAACAGTTGCCCCTGGGTGTCCCAGTGGACATCCTCACATCCAACTCCTGGGCTGGTGGCATGGGACCTACCTAGCCCAGGTCGAGGTGGGCGGCCCCGTCACCTCCACCACCAGGTCAGGTGTGTTGTCACCCAGCTCCCTTCTCCATACCTCCCCCCAGGAACAGACTACTGCTATGTTGCTGAGGCTGGCTTCGAACTCTTGGGTGCCACTGATCCTGCCTGTTTTGCCTCCAGAGAAGCTGGAATTACCGGCATATGACTTGATATGTTCTTATTAAGCTGGGATTTCTGCCAGAGGAGAGCTGGAACTGCATGTCCTCGAATGCCCATCCCGCCTGCTGTCGGTGCCCCCCGGAGACCCCAGAGAGCCTCTGCCCTTTGCCCCTTACCTTGCTGCTCGAGTGGTGGCGGGACATCTGGTCTGATGAGTGGGTGGGAGCCAGCCTTGGAGCAGGGGTTGCTTGTGTTGGATGGGGCTGAGGAAGCAAGACGGAGATGTGGTCCTGTGGGCTGGGTCACAAGGTCTACTTCCTGTTCTGCCCCATGGGACACCTCCCCAGCTGCCAGAGGTGATGTTTTGGGT